GTTGCATACGACGAAAATCTCCAGGCTCAGACCAGAGATGATGTGCATGAGTGAAAAACGTATAAACGTTTATTATAAAATTATATTCAAACCTGAATAAAACATGATTGGGAATCGGGAATTTGGAGTATAGAATTATTTTGGTAATTGGTCATTGATTTATAAAAATGATGTCTATGTGGCCAGCATCGATGTGCACTATTCCAGTGCCTATCGACGTAGCGACTTATCGATAAATGGATTAAACAGATGTATTATCCATCCATCCATTTTCTGATCTGCTTTATTCTCACAAGGGTCACGTGGCATGCCGGAGCCTATCCCAGCTGTCTTCGGGCAATAGGCAGGGTACACCCTGAACCGGTTGCCAGCCAATCGCATGGCACATATAGACGAACAACCATCCGCGCTCACACTCACACCCAGGGACAATTTTGAGTGTTCCATCAGCTTGCCATGTATGTTTTTGGAATGTGGGAGGAAACCGGAGTACCCGGAGAAAAGAACATTCAAACTTCACACAGGAAGGCCGGAGCTGGAATCGAACCCAATACCTCTGCACTGTGAGGTCGAAACGCTTAACCACTAGCCTACCAGGCCACCAGATTTATTTTTACTCCTCTACTATGTATGCACAACGTGTGTCATTGGATGTCTAGCATAGACATTGATGTGTATGTCAATCAGAGTTCCCACGTATCCTAGAAAACCTGCAAAATGATTGACACATTTTCCAGTCACATGGAAAATTAAAAAAAAAAAAGTTGAGTAGTCCTGTAAAATTATTTTTCCTGCCTCTGCTTCTCCCTGCCTTGTTAGTGAATGCAAATGGTATCAACAGAGATATGTCTCTTTTCAGTTGTCTTCAATGGGCAAAGTTGAGCTGTCGCGCTTTTCTGCTTCATCTCTGCTTTGAGTTGGCACAGTGCCCCACGTGATAAAAAACAATCAAATTGGGTATTTCCTGATACCGGTTCTTGCCTAGTGTTTCCATATGACTTTGTTGCTATGTTTACCAACTTTCAGACCCAAGTTAGGATTTAGTTGTTCCCAAAATGCACTAGAACTAGTGACTCGCAGTTCAAGAGTGTTGCTTTAGCGCTGTATATTGAGTGTAAGGGTTTTCTTCCCCTGTCTTTCTCCTATTTTGAGTGGCAGAGACCTGTAGTGGTTGTGCTATCACTTTTGGCTGTTCCCTTTGAGATGAAATACATCTCTGGTTTCAGTAGAGCCGCAGTGACCACGACTTTTAGATAGTGCTGGGTAACAGGTAGTCTTCAGATATTGGCATCGCGTCAGTACTGAAGGAACACAGTCAAGCTGTCACTGATGGTCACCCATTTTGCGGACTAATGACTAGAAACTTAATATGTGACCAAGCGCTAGGCACGCCTAAAATAATAATGGGACTACTGTAATTTCCGGACTATAAGCCGCTACTTTTGTCACCCACTTTCAACCCTGCGGCTTATTGAATGAGGCGGCCTGTTTAAAGATTTTTCCAACGGCCATCAGGGAGCGCTCGAGGTCTTTGGTCAAAAAAGTTTGGCCACCCCTGGTCTCGATGTTTCAAACAGAGCTTTTTCTTCCCATAATGCCACAGGGTACTTGCACGTTTTTAGAATTAATCTCCTTTTTATCGATGTGTTTGAACGTACTTTGCAGACACGTTCAAACGAGTTTACGAAGTACGTCCCACAGACCATAATGACATTGTACCATATTGCGGAAGCATGGTTAAAATTTTGATGAAGCAGCGACAAACTGATGTTGACTGACTGGCGGATCAGCCGCTGGCGAATGAAAAATGATAGACCAGCAAAATTTCCTGACGTGCCCATCTGTTTTAGTCTTAATGGTCCGCGTTTCACTTGTATGTATGAAATACTTGCTCCATTGTCCAACAGCAGAAAGAAAAAAATGTGAAGGAGAAAAACTTCATTTGGAATTCGGCTCAATTAAAGTACAGTTTATGTGCAGAGCTCAGATTTTTCATGCAGTTTTTAGCTCATGTTACAGCCCTGGGTTCGTTAACATGGGTGTGGCGGTGCTATGGGTGCTTCCATGGTGTTGGGCCTCCCTCCAAGCCATCAGCAGTTCAGTCAGTCTACTGTAGTCCATTGTCCTGATTTACTTTGGAATTAAAGTAATTTTGTATCAATTGTGACAAATCCTCAATATTGATTTATTTCACCCTTTGCAGATAATTAAATTGTTGCTTTTCTGTGTGGTTCATGTGCATATTATTGTAATCATTTTTCAGTTTTAGAACAGCGTGCGCATGTGTGTAGTTTATGCGAGGAGGCATCCTCAGGGCATTAGCCATCACACTGACAGTATTCTGAGATGAATCTCGTCGAGAAAAACGGCAAAGATGAGAATCCGACATCATGCCAGTTTGATTTGTACCCTTCGCTATCAAGGACTGCTAATTAAAATCATATTTTGCATATCCCTTGTCTTTCATGCCATATGTAAATTGCCCCCGTTGCCTTTCAGCGCTCTGTAATTAGCTTTATGAAGGACAGCTGTAATACATAATTAACAGAGATGTTTGCAATGCTCTTTTTCTCTCTTCACTTCGGAACACGATGACTTAAACAAGCACGTTACACACAAACACAAACATTCGGTGTATTCTCAAGGCCTTGCTTTTCTCACAATATTCTTGATGTATCAACAACAGCTGCTCCCAAATATATTAATGATGCTGTTTGTTTCATTATAATGAAGTGGCTACAAAATGTATATGGATCCCTTTTCAAATACCAGGTGATTGTGATCGAAAACAACTCTTTCCCCTGTCTCATGAAATGTATTCTATAGAATTCAACTGAAACAAAATTGAGAGGGGATTTAAAGATAAACTGCTGACTTTGTGGGTGCCTCTCAGAACTAGGGAAGTGGCTGCCTGGTGCTGAATGGAAGCATATTGTTGCCACATACATCTGAAGTGTCAATGGTCAATGTGCGGTTCACATGACAGTAGTTCTTGCATCGTAACTGAATTACGTAATTGAGTTCCATTTTGACAAAAGGTGAGTGATGTGATTTAAACCACGTTGTCCTGCTTTTTATATCTCTTTACAATGATCTCCTTGCTCTGTTAGCCTACTCATGGTTGCCAACAAAGATTTTAAATATTAATCTTTATGATCAACTAAAAAGTGTGAAGTTGAGACAATTCTCTGTGCTAGATGAAGTCTTAAGGACTTAGGATACTTCCTGAATATTATTAATAAAAAAAGGTTAGCTTAACAATTTTAGTGTCATTGATAAAAACATTTGACAACATTTAATGTGTAATTAAGCATGCCGCGGGAATATTCTTGATATAATTTTAAACATGGAAATGGAAATATAGACAAATTGTTCTGGAAGTGAATTTCTACAAACCTACCTTTTTCCACGAGTGTGTGCATGGATGCACTTCTTTGTTGGTTCAAACGGCATCTTTGGGTGGGCAGTCAGCAACTCAGCTTTGCTCAGCACATGTGGTCATACTCAAAATTTCCTCTTACATGCTGGTAGTTTTGGCACAAATATAATGGCATACTGTACAGTTGCCTCTGCCTACAGCAGGCAGAATGCCGGGGTGGGTCAGGGTTTTTTTTTTTGTATTTTCCATCGGTGTTGATCACGTGTCCAACGCATTACATGTATTGTTGCCTAGCCCGAATTGAAGGACAGGATCGATCAGGGTAGAAGGCACTCTCCAAGTGCTTCACAGCAGTGATCTGTGAGATCCCTGGCCAGCTTTTACACTGCCCTCAAGTAGAGAAATTCTTGCAGTGCCTTATAAACATAGTACTGTACTTTGTACACATTCATCTCCTGCATTGACTCCAGTCTCTCCTGCTCTGAATTTAAAGTGAATGAGAAGAATCCCTTTCAATACTTGACGCCCACAAAAGCGCAAACGCCCGTTTTGGACTGTGCCCCGTCTGCGAAAATACCAAAAGAAAGAAAAATCCACTCTTGTGCACGGTTAGATCGCTCTTTGCGGTAGACTTACACTGGGCATGAAAATAGGGCCCTCAGTATTTTTCAGTTTGCCTGTCGGGAGTATGGAAGACTTGTCAGAGTCACTCTCCCAGATTGACTTTGAGGCAGCATTCTTGATGATTGAGTAAGAAAAGGATTGAGGAAAGTGATTATAATGAGGCAATACACTGGAACGTGTTTGAATATTTATACAGTGGTGTTAGTTAGCATTTACCCTCAAGGGCATTGAGGATGGTGCACATTGGGGGACACATTTGTGTGTTTGTGTGTGTGTGTGTGTGCGCGTGAGTGCGTGTGTGCATGCGTGCAATGTAGGTTAATCTGTTCATTATGGCATGGGGACATAAGATTGTGAAATACAGTATGTTTTAGACTCATTCCTAATAGCAAAACACACTAGTCCGCTATGGGAAAAAGATATATGATATAAGACATATGAATAATGATCAAGTCAGAATAGGGGAAAGTGTGCACAATTAGATGGGGCATTGTGAAGGAGACCTGAGTTTTCGCAGTGACAGTTCCAACCGCATGACTGTCCCTTGGTCTCTTTTATGTAGCTCCATCCTCAGTTGGAGATGTGGTCATTGTCTATCTGTTCCACAATGATTGGAAATGATGGGAGTTAAATGAAAAGGCCAGAGGATGAAAACATTGTGGAAGCGTCTTGGATGTCTGAGTATTTAGTCCAGACCTCCATTCATTATGTTTTCATGTGTCGCTTAGGAGACGCAATCAGTCCAGGAAAGTTTGAACATGTTTTGGTCTGTTCAGTACTCAATTTTTTTTTCTCATTTTATTTTGTGTGCTTGCTTATTGAATGTACTCCAGACACACGAGCATGTGCATTTGTGCGCAACTCTTTAACATATTAATGCACATGATGTGGTAAATATGAGAAAGACCAATCATGACAAATTCACCTATGCTCTCATATGTAAAACAGTGCATTGAGTTTACTATGTGATTGACTCTTGCCGTCTTTGTTTACACAGATGGGCCTTTGTAATGAAGAAACACCTCAGCACCCACCTACTTGGCAAACATGGAATTGGGCAACGTAAAGAGAGGTAATGTTTGCAACCTTTTTTCTTTTTTTTTTTCTTTCTACAGTCAGTGGAAATAAAAAATGCATTCTGGAGAATAGCATCTTAAATTAGTACATATTTCAAATGAAATTTAGTTTGAGATATTCCATCTCCTACTTAAGTTAAATAGTCCCATCTGTCTGCTTGTTGGTCTCCTTCTTATACCGTTTTCTCTGTCAAACTTTATCTGGTTCAGCCATTGTTTTACTCTCTGCTCTCCTTCTTGAATTAAAGACCAAGTAAATTGAATTCAGACATTTGTTTCTAAATACATTACACCTGTTTGATGATAACTGTTGAAAGCATGTGCAAAAACCGAGAGAGAGCTTTGTAATACCCAATTATGGTTAAACTGATAATCCACCAAGTCGGTTTTTCAGTTTTTTTTTTGTTTGTTTTTTGTTTTTTTGTGAAGCTAAAACAGCGCCCAGACACACCCTCGAGAGTTTGACTGCAGCCCCTCATTTTCAGCCCCTCTCCCGACTCCCCTGCAGACCTAAATTCTCCACCACCGTTAGCCCAGAAATGAGTTCCATTTCTGTCAAATGCTTATCTAAAGGAAATGTACTCTTAATATAAATATAATGTGTAGTTTAAAGATAAAAATGTCAAATATGTCTTCTCTTTCAAATTAAAAATCCAAAAAGTTGTACAGACGCTCCCCAGCTAATGAACGAGTTACGTTCCGAAGGATCGTTCGTTAGCTGAATTCGTTCGTAAGTTGCTTCAGTGCTATATTTTGTATGGAATGTATGTTTCAGGCTTATATAAGTATGTTTCATGTTTATATAAGCATTATAAAATGAAGTTTAACTTTTGGAAGATGTACTCGAAGGCTTAAGGAGATGATGGGCGATTGCACAGTTTTCTTCTTTTTCTCATCATAAATAATGCAGTAGCACTGTATGGCATCATTCATTTTATTTGCAACCTTTGTGCAACGTTCAATATTTGGGTCTTGCTGCTCGAAGAGTGCGATGGCTTTATCTATGAGCGAAAACCCCTCGGCCAAGAGTTCCGTCTCAAACTTCTTCATGGGGACAGGCGTTTCCTCCTCCTCCTCCTCTCACAGCGCCTCACGTCGATATTAGCGGCGGAAAGAAGTAATACAGTACTCTGAAAAAGGCACGCAATACAAAATCTAACTTACAGCATCTCTGTCCGAGAACATTTTTCGACATACCTGTACCCGCAAAAATGTTCGTATGTACCGTTGTTCGTAACATGAATGTTCGTAAATCGGGGAGCGCCTGTACACTTTTTAGACACAAATGCACACCAAACAATCGTGACCATGTAAATCGTTTGCATCTTAGTGGGATCTTTTCTGGCATGGATCCCATTCATGTGTGAGTCAACAACAATCATCAGGTTCCGTCTTTTTAAACCTGAAAGTACAAGGCATCATCATTTGTCCCAGAGCCCTACAGATGGGTTTTATCTCATCATTAATTATCTATCCTATTTCCAAAAGCTTAATTAGAACGAGGTCATTTGGGAGGGCTTATTAAGTGGAGCAAATTTGGATGAATGTTCGAAGAGAATAGATGTATGGAGGAGGATAACAATTACAAACACGAAAATGGAACATAGGACAAAGAAAGACAGAAAGGAAGTACATGCGTGTGCGTCTGTGTGTGAACATGAAAAAAAAATATCCATGTGCGTGTGCAAGTATTGCATTGTGATGGGTGGCTTGATGATTGATGACTACACTGGTTTTGAAACCCCAGATCTGGATACTAAAATGGCATGGTGGGGGCGGGGGCAGTGTATGTGTCTTGAACTAGCAACTGGGGACCAGTGAAGGGGTGGCTTGAGAGGTGATGAGGATTGTTGTGTTGTGGGGGAAACCAATAGCAGATGTGTGCTGGGTGGCAGGCAGTGGAGAGACAGATTGCAGTGGGACAGTGTCAGGGAGGCAGTTCCATCACCATCTCGATGGCCCTGTTCACTTGATATTTTTAGAACACTGGGGAGAACTGTTAGTCGAAGAATAAGTGGTACAGAAAGAAAACACCTGGTGAGCCATAGGGTGACACATGCAGTGTCTTTAAAGTGTATTCATTCCCCTTTAACTTTTTTTGCATTTTGTGACTTTATAATCACAAATTTGGGATTATTAACCTTTTTTTTTGAAAAAAAAATCTGAAAAGTGTAGCCCCCCTGGACTCTGATACCCCTAGATGCAATCCATTGCAATCAGTTGCCATCAGAATTCACCAAATCAGTAAATGGAGTGAGAGTGTGTGTGTGTGTGTGTGTGTGTGTGTGTGTGTGTGTGTGTGTGTGTGTGTGTGTGTGTGTGCTCTCTCAGTCTAGATAAACCTGTTTTGCGAAGGCCTCAGTTTCGGCCTACATCATAAAATATGTCCGTTTATTGATATGTGGATTCTACTCTCCGTTCCTTTTCAAAAAAATGAAAAGGATGCCTTCACCATAAGATCGGTGATTGGCTCATTTCGCTGTCAATGAAAAAGAGATTCAGCCTCAGACAGATCATCCAATCATCATGCAGAAAAGCTCAGCGTCCGGGCCAGCCCATAAACGCCCACTGTCCATAGACTCCCAGAGACGCTGATTGTCCAATGGGCGGGACAAAACCAGCATTTATCCAATGACTCGTCTCGTTTCAATACATTGGGACAACCTACACTGAACTCTCCAGACGCCCAGCGTCCGCGCGGTCGACGCTCAGCGTCCACACAGTTTAAAGCACAGTGAAGCTGCGGGAATGAATGAGAAGAGAGTCACGTCGTAACCAGTAATAAGAAGCTGATTCGAAACAAAAGTTGAGCGCGTTGTAGCACATGTTTAGTCAATGACATGTCCACACAATTGTACGTACACACATATATTTGATCACTTACTTTTGACATTTTAGGGGACGCTCAGCTTCCCTTGCAGTCTCTGCATTGTATACATAGTTCAGTATTGTACAATAATTAAAAAATAAAGCTGACTATCAAGTACCAAGTACAACTTCATTGTCAAATTTGAAATATCTTCCCTCTCACATTTTTTTGCTGTTTTTTTTTTTTTTTTAATAAATCCTACTTCACGGGTTTCACTTATCACGGGTTCTTTTTGGAACGTAACCCCCTCGATAAACGAGGGATTACTGTCATATTCTACAATATACAAATATTGTGTCTAGATCTCAATGCCAGTAGAGAAATACCCTAAACCACTTGCAGCTGTAATTGCGGAGGACAGTTGCTCTACAAAGTATTGAAGCTAAATATAAACACACACCACATTTTTCACACTTTATATGCCTACATTTTTTTTTAAAGATGCATAATTTATTTTCCACGTCTGAATTATGTGCAACTTTGTGTTGGTCTATCATATTAAATCCCAATTAAAAAAATAAATAAATACAGTTTGTCTCAGTCGTGACTTGGCTACAAAGATGTATTTATTAAAAATGTTGATCCATCTATTCTATAGCAGAGTACATATGCACTGGGGAGGGGACGGTCCGTCGCGAGCAGGTTGCAAATCAACGACTGTAGGGAAACAGTGCGGGGGTTGCTTCGACATGTTGACAAGGAACCGAAAGTTGGGGGGATTTTCCCCTTTTTCTTCTTCCCACCCCGGCCACACTGACTGTCCAATGGCAATTCTTCACCTGATATTGAAGCATGTGCCCCAGTAGAAGGCATCTGGCAACAACCTTATTTAGCATCCAAGATCATTTAATTGTTAGTCGCATGTTTACTTCCAATCCATGTTGGGAGAAAAGAATAGGACAAACTGGATGAGAGATTCAAAGGGATGGCTTTTTGGGTGAGTGCGTGAGCCAAAGAGAGAGCTGAACTGTTATGAAGTGACACAACTGGGTCTTCATTTCTGTCATACCACCACTCCTCACTTGCAGGCACTGAGCCGAGATTAGGGTTTTTTTTTTTTGTTTAGTTTTTTTGTCCCTTTGTCTGTATAAACTGTATGTGTGCTCTTTTATGCTCATGGGAAGCATTCAATGTATCCATGTAAGTACACAAAGATGTTTTTTGTTGACTTGTAACAGGATGTGATTAGATTCATTTCAAAAAGGATCTAACATTGTTCATATTTGCATGTATCGCTAAGCTTCATGAAGTAGGTGATTCCTCCATTTCATGTTGGGGATGATGCAATTCATATTTAGTACATGCACTCAGCAAAAATACATACATGCATTAATTAATTAAATAATAAAGATCCCATACTGGGATCCCAAGTAGGGGGCGCTAAATGTCATATGCACTCACTATAACAGATTGTGTGCGCTGTTGGCAACAGTCGTAAAAGTGGTGCTGACCGGCATATTTAAAAGAGGTTTTTGTGCTTTTGTTATTTAATCTGGCCTGATGTATTTTGTTTATTCTCATGAAATATTATTGTCTTCATTTCATTGTGACAGAAAAATATTATACATGTGTGAGTGTGTATTAGCATGTGTGCATGCATACATTTATGTGTGTGTGTGTTTGTGTGTGTGTGTGTGTGTGTGTGTGTGTGTGTGTGTGTGTGTGTGTGTGTGTGTGTGTGTGTGTGTGTGTGTGTGTGTGTGTGTGTGTGTGTAAGAGCAGGAATGTGTATGTGTGTGTCAAAAGTCCTTGCTTAAAAAACAAGGGGAGTGGCTCAGGCGAGAAGTGACTGACAGCAGCAACCTTGACTCAATTGCTTGTAATTAGTTCTTTCAAAACAGGGTACCTAAAGACAACTGACCTGTCCCGCATACTTGTTTTCACAGGTAATTGTTAAAATGCCAGTAATTTTCACGCTTGTTATAATAAACTGTTTAAACTAATGCACTCATCATTCTTTAAACAGGACTGCTGACAGCTCAAAAGAAAAATATTTTTTTAACTTTTTTTCTTTTTTCTTGGGCGAGAATGTTTTCACTGTTTTAGAGATGTCAAATTGCTACAGCCTGCACACAGTTTGGTTAGCAATTGATGTTGCTGTATTTTACACTTATCTTTAACAGTCAG